TATTGTTATTGTGCTTAAGTTATATAATCAAATAAAATAACAATTAATAAATTTATTTAAAAATATAAATAATAAAATGCTACTAAATAAGATGTGAAAATTTTATTTATTTATGTATTTGCATTGAGTAAATCAACCTGTATAATAGAGATATAAATAACATATCACTATCATAATACTACAGTTTTATAATAATACTTTATAACTTTGCATTATTTATGAAGTGATTTAATTCAAAACATCATTTTTTTCACCCAAAAATATTTCAAAAATAAAGTAAGATAAAAAAAAATAAGAGAATATGGAGGAACACACTTAATTGAGCAAAATAGCACGTCTTATTTATAAAATTTATGGGACCAAAGCCCCTATTTACACCCTCACAAGGAACTCGACCTGGGTTCCTCACAACAAACCCAATCTGGGTTCCTTTCTAGGTTCCTCATCAAGTAACCCGATGGGTTCCTCACGACAAGGAACCTAGAACTAGGTTCCATCGTGAGGAACCTAGAGCTGGGTTCCTCGTCGTGGTGGAACCCAGCTGTAGGTTTCTTGTCGAACCCAGTTTGTACCTTTTTTTTGCCTTTCTTTTCTATGATTTTTTTTGGTTTTGATAGAATAATAAGATGATGATCTGATTCTTTGATGGGTTCTTAAATTTTCTTGCAAGTGAATTAAAATATTGTTCTTTCATGGAGGTTGGGTTCCATGAGGAACCCAAAAGCAATGACCTGGATTTGAGTCCCTCCATGCGCTCAAATTTATGTTTTAAAAAGTGAAAGGTGTGAATAGGGAAGAAAAATTTTGAAAATTGTTGACTACGGAAATAATATAATTGGAGGGTGCAAATAGGGGGTTTAGCCAAATTTATGGTCACGTAACTCCCATTTTTTATTGGAATAAATAGGGTAATTATTAAGTTAAATTCCCATTTGGTCCCTCTATTTTAGTTAAAAGTCCTTTTTTAATCCATCTACTTAAAAAATCTAATTTTTTGTCCTTAAAATTTGAAATCTGACTCATTTTTAATCTCTCTATTAAGTTTTACATATATAACATGTTAGATGACAAAATTCAAAATACAGAGACCAAAAAAACTAAAAAATAATCCTTTTTTAGTTTTTCTATTTTAGCAAAAAGCCTATTGTTAGTCTCTTTACTTCAATAAAAAATTTCTTTTTTATCCCTCTACTTTAAAAAAACTCTCTTTTAATCTCCTCTCTTTTGGGATTTTCGTTAAAATAACATATTACAAGATAAAAAACTTAACAGATGAGCTAAAAAGAGTGTCAGATTTCAAACTTTATGTAGTAAAAAATGATTTTTTT